GCGCCCGGCCTTTATTTATTTATTTTTCAGACAGAGTCTCACTCTGTTGCCTGGGCTAGAGTGCTGTGGTGTCAGCCTAGCTCATAGCAACCTCAAACTCCTGGGCTCAAGCGATCCTCCTGCCTCAGCCTCCTGAATAGCTGGGACTACAGGCACACACCACCATGCCCGGCTAATTTTTTCTATTTTAGTAGGGATGTGGTCTCGCTCTGGCTCAGGCTGGTCTTGAACTCCTGAGCTCAAGCGATCCTCCCGCCTCGGCCTCCCAGAGTGCTAGCATTACAGGCGTGAGCTACTGCGCCCAGTGCTAAGGCTTTAGCTCAGAGTCGTCCCACCCCCAGGCCGGCTTCTCCCCCAGATCTAGACCAGCTCCTTGGACACCTGTGGGGCAGAAAAGCCACTTGGCACCTGGGCCTTTATAAGGAAGCAGTGTCACTTCCCTCACTTACCTGACTCTCCTGAGGGTCTGTCACCTTTCTGGTCCCTGACCCCAGTGGGAGGGAGTCTGTCCTCCAGGCTGCAGGAGCTGAGATCCGAGTCACTGTCACTGTCGCTGGAAACCACTGGAAAAGACAGACACCAGCACAGGAGGTCACCCCTCTTGGCTGCTAGTAGCAGGCACCTTGGACAGAGGGGGCCAGGGCAGGCCTCCCCGCTTTGTCACCCTACCATGACAAAGTGGTACAGAAGCTCAGCTGGATGGCCCTTTTGTTTTGGGCATGAGAAACAATAGCCCAGGGACAGGAGGGCACTCTTTCTGCCAGAGATGTGAGTCCCAGTGGGAGAAGGCTGGGACTTGGGCTCAGCGTGACCAGTACCAGTAGGGAGAGGCCACCCTATGGCCAGTCATCTCCACACATCCCCCTGTCCCTGTGGTGGAAGCTGATTGTCACCTTTGGTGTAGGCACAATAGCTCTAAGGCCTCTACCCAGCCACACAAAAGGCAGAGGCAATGTTCTGCAGGAATGAGAATTACAGTAGTAGCTGACCCTTAGGGAGCCTTCCAGGCCTTCACATATATAAATTTTATTTATTATTATTTTTTGACAACAGGGTCTTTCTCTGTTGCCCAGGCT